GCGACCGATAATGCTCCCCGTCGAAAACATCTGTGGTCGTCCCGGGAACGTGCTTGTGCTCAGCGCGATACTGCTGCTTCTCCGCCATTTCACGGTTGCCGGCGAAGGCGACGAGGCGCGGGATAAGTGGGATGTACGTGAATCTCTTGCGCGGTTTGCCGTTGGCGCGCCAACGCGGCTCGTTACAGTATATGCAAGCTTCCAAATCCTTGTGGGGCCCGACGAAACAGAGGCAGGATTTAACGCAGCAATCATATATCTGCGGCTTGAAGCCGGCGAGGAAATTAACGCGGGAGCGGATGCCGTCGAGTGTGGGCAGGGGGGGCTCCTGGGGGAACGCCTGTGGCACCATTTTGAAGGCCTTATCGGTCATATTCGCGCGGACTTTGAACGCGAAAGCCCGGCAAATGGCGAGGTCGTATGCGCTGAGTTTTCGGGCTGCAATTCACAGTAATCATCAGGCTGCGGACGATGAAGGAGACGTCAGTGGAAGTGACAAACCTATAGCTGCCTCCGCCTCGAATTCCTCCCCAAGCTGATCCGATGCGGACAGACCGGGCGCTTTGAAGGAGTCCCAGTCGAAGATATCAGGCTCTTCATCCGAATCCTCCTGGTCACTATCCTCGACCCGCATCTCGTGCTCAGAGTCGGGCTCGGACCCCGAATCGGACTCGACATCGTTCGCACCCGGTGCCGCCCAGTGCACTTGCATGATGCGGCTAGGGTCGGCGAGTCCCTCCAGCCTGAGCCCATCTTCTTCGTCGTCATCATCCTCATCCACAGCGCGATGAAAATCCAAGTCCTCCGAGGACGGCTCCGGTTTGTCGTACTCACGATCGTCTACTGTCATCTCGTCGCTCCCGGCTGCCGTGCTAGCATGTGTTCCAGAAGGGCCTGCTTCAGCTTCATCGCTGTCCATCTCTGCATCGTCGTCCGAGTCGGAAGCCGGAGCCACTATGCGACGCAGCGCAGAAGGATCTTCACCAGTGGGAACCAAGAAAGCCCGTGAGTTAATTATGCGGCGGTGCTCTCGTTCTTGCTTAACGGTCACAAGCCGGTTGCAGCACGGACAGTGGACTCGCTCAGAGCGGGGAGGCATGAGTGGCGCAAGCGGATGTATTTGTAAAGAGTGATGCGCTGTAAACAAAACTTGACACAACAAAAAACCTCCTATAACTCGAACCACGACCGCCATCTACAAACCAAGTCAGCGTCCAGCCCAGATCTCACAATGAACACCAAACCTACCGAGAAGGTCCTCCTCCGGGTCCCGAGGGCACACAGGACTCCGAACACGACAGCCGCGAGGGCCGCCAAGAGCATGGCGTCAACAGCGAGCGCGAAGCCCGCCAGAGACGCGTCCTCAACAACGAGCGCGAAGCCCGCCAGAGGCGCGTCCTCGACAACAGGCGCGAGGGCCTCCAAGCGCGCGTCCGCGACAACGGATGTGAAGCCCCCCAAGGGCGCGTCGTCGACCGAAGGCAACAAGGAAAATGTCGTGCTTGCAGACACTTTGATCGTGGAGGAGGTCGAGTCCAAGTTCAATGTCGAGGGCTGCAACACCGCCGATATAGTCTACGCGCGCAGGGAGAACGACAAGAACCAAGGTGAGTAATGGCATGCGATCAAATGGCGCGCGCGACCGCGCGCGACTCACCTGCTATGTCTCGCGAGAGCAGCCCTGCTCCAGGCCCAGGCTGCTGAGCTGGAGCGCCTCAAGAACGAGCTAGCTGCACTCAGCGCGTCCAAAGGTCAGTCGAGTATTACTCAATATAGACGCATCACTCACCAGCGCCCCTCAGACAAGATTGGCCCCTCAGATCCATCCCAAGCCAACAAGAAGAAGCGCACGGCTCGCAAGCAGTCGCACAGTGCCGAGGGCGACGATCAAGTCGTCGGCGAGCAAGGAACTGTTGCCGGCGACGCGGGTGAGCTGCAGACTCGGGCCTAGAACTATAGCTTACCCTCCGAGATTTAGGTGACGCGCCTCCTGCGAAGAAGCAGCGCAAAGCGCCCGCGGGTACGTCGCCCATCGACGAGCGTGTTAGTGGACGCGATAACGAAGGAGCGACTGGAGGTGGGGAGGATACAGGTGAGCGGGAGAACCTGGACTGTAAATTGTATCTCACCTGCTTCCAGACGACACGCTAGACGCGTTGGCGAGGTTGGCGAAGGAAAACGAAGAGCTGCGGTGCCAGCTTGCGGCTGTGGAAGGTGCTGGGGGTGCCCAGGCTCAAGATGGCCCAGCACCGGGGAGTATTCCACGCCCCAGCGGCGTCGCGGGCACAGACTACAACATTCAGGACAAGATGGGTTTGGGAAAGGGAGAGACGAACGGGAGGTACTATAAAAGCATCATGGTAAGCAGACATCTAGTCATTGAGCCTGTACTCACCGTAAATACAGCGCACCACGCGGGAAGTGGTAATCCAAGCCCGTGTCAACTGGGAGAAGCCGTGGGCAGACGTGTCGGCGGACGTCAAGGCCAAGGTTTTTGCAGTGGTCAGTCCTCGTAATTGTCGAAGAGTTTGCTGGTGATTGACGTGTTTCCGAGGCTGCCGAACGCCACCCTATCCTCGCGCGATATTTCAACAGCTGGGCGACCGAGGACCTCGTCAAGCAATACATCAAGAATCGACGCCAGAGTGCTTACAGGTCTGGAGAGCTCGAGGTCCCTGCGAAGTACCGCTACTTGAAGGCGAATGCGGCCATGCGGAACCCGACGGGGCGCCGTGGAAGGCAGAACAAGCGTGCCAAGGTCGACGTCGCTCGGAAACGCGCCGTAAAGAAGGCCGCGGCGACGTCGACATCCAAGGGCAAGGGAAAGGCCAGGGCGATGGCGGTGGATTCCGACTCCGACGATAGCGAGGAGGATACCGGGGCGTGGGCAGCGGGGTCGGATGAGAGCGAGTTGACCGAGATGGATGAGGACGAGGTGCGTGTGTGTGTGTACGCTCGATTGCGATCTGACAGCGGTTAGGTAACCCAGCCTCAAGGCTCATCGAAACTCGGTTGAACCCCTTCCTACCCGTGGCTGCACGTATCCGTGGCTGGACACATGTCTCAGCCCTTCCTGTCCTGTCCTGTCCACCCTCCATAAAGTCGTTAGTGTCCAATCGATCCATTTTTTTGCCGCATTTGATTCCGCGGAAGCAACATCCTGAGAAAGGTTAAAATAGCGGCAGTCTGGGCATAGATACAAGGTGTAGCTAGGTGGACTTTCAGCAGGGATTAGGTTATCCATAGGTTACTCAATTCATCCTGCCTTAGGTTGAAAGGCATTCGGAATAGCTCAGAAACCCATAGGTTGAAAACGGCCGATTTAGGATCTAATTTAACCTACGCGAGGTAACCTATCGGCACACAGTTTTCATCCTATGGTCGTCGAAAATCATCCTATTGCTGGTTGTAATTTAGCCAACCTTTGGTTGATGCCTAGGTTGAATTTAATGCTACCGCGCCCCCCTAGAGGTGGGTGGAGTATTGACATGTACGGCCAGCGACGTAGGCTCACAGCGAAGTGGATGCGGTACTTACCATTGAATCTGGACAGGCGCCTTGCGTTACTTCCTGGGGATCAAGCAGGGGGGCCGAGTCAATATTTGACTTAAGGACTAACCCGAAAGACTTGAGGACTAAAAAAGAAGGTGGGTCAGTCATTGACTCAGCACAGCAGCACCTTCATTCGAACAAGGACTCGGGGAATGTATTTTTGCATTGACCAAACCCTAGGACGACCCCGTGTGCATCCGTGCACCATACTGCTTCCTCTCCTCGCAGCTACTTTCAACCTGATGAGGTCCGCAAAAATTGGTTGGGACCCTCATACAAGGGAAAAAAAATTCCACACTCGAATGAGAAAGCAGCACCTTGAGTCGAACAAGGACCTCGGGATTATAGCAGCAGCCGATACTCTCACAGTGAGATCCAGTGTACATCCATACACCATGCCACTTTCCACACCCAGCATTCAAGTGGGTGGGGTAGTACTGGAATTTATACGGTCAGCGAGGTATTATGCTTCGAGACTCACAGCGACGTGGAAGTAGTACTTGCCTTGAATTTGAACAAGCGCCTTGCGTTACCTTCTGGGGAGCAAGCAGGCGGACCGAGTTTGGCTCAAGGACTACCCGACAGTTAATGCGCCGATAGCGCAAAAAAGACGAAGAGTCAGCGCAGAGCAGCACCGTCATTCGAACAAGGACCTCGGGGAATGTATTATTGCATCGATCAAACCCAAGGACGACCCCGTGTGCATTCATACACAATACTGCTTCCTCGCCTCGCAGCTCCTTCCAAGCAGGTGAGGTGCACAAAAAAACTAACCCTTACAGAAAGAAAAAAGCCTTCGCACCGACCTAAAGCAGCATCTTGTGTCGAACAAGGACCTCGGGGATATAATCAAGATATGACCAAAGCAGCGAGACCCCGCGTGCAACCGTACACCATACTGCGTTCCTGCTGCTGCTGCTAGCTCCAAGTGGAGAGCACTTCGGAAACATCAAAGGCAAACACCTCGCGGTCGGCCTGCTTATAAGTTAGATTCTGCGCGCGGCCGACTCGACGCACCGTAGTCATCCCCGTTTCAACCGTAAACATGAATCATTTTCCTCCTCTACCGACGTTGGTCTGACCGAGATCAGAGTTGGGGACAAGAAACGCTAAATTTCTGCCTCTGGGCAGCACCTTGAGTTGAACAAGGACCTCGGGGATATAGGTCAGATCTCGACGAAACAGCGAGACCCCGTGTGCGGCCATACACCATGCCGCTTCCCTGGCCCGGATTTTCAAGCACATGAGGCCCTCGAAAACATCGAAGGCAAACACTTCGCGGTCGTTCCTGCTCATAAATTGGATTCTGCGCACGGCCGACTTGATGCACCACACGTACCGCTTTCCTTGCCCTATAAACCCGGATAATCTTGCTCCTCTTCCGAAGGCAGCCTGACCGAGATCAGACTTGAGGAGAAAAAACGATCGGACTTCCTGATTCCTGAATAGAGCAGTACCTTGAATCGAACAAGGACCTCGGGGGATTCAACGCCGAAAGAACAAAGGACAGCAAAACCCCGCGTGCATCCCTACACCATACTGCGTTCTTGCTGCTAGTTTCAAGCTGGCGAGGCCCTTGAATATATAGAATAGCAAGCACCTGGGGCGAGTCGATGGATGCAATACACGTCCTGTTTCCCCTGCCCGTTTCAAGTATGTACATGGATGATTTGCTTCGACACCGGCCTGACCTAGTTCAGAGTTGGGGGAGAAAAACGCTTTGGATTTCTAGTCAGAGCGGCACCTTGAGGCGAACAAGGTCCTCGGGGATATAGTTCAAACACCATCCCAAGACCAAGACCCCGTGTGCATCCGTACACCATACTGCGTCCTTGTTGCTAGTTTCAAGCTGGTGAGGCGGTCAAATTGTCGAAGGCAGGCACCTCAGTGGCTCGGCCATCCCCGCCTCCGAGTTGAATCCCGGCACACCACACACCACACATACCGTTGTCCTTGCCTGTTTCAACCGTACAGATAGGTGATTTTACTCCTCCTCGGACTCCGTAGATCAGAATTGGGGAGAAAAATGATCAGCGCTCTCTTAAAGCAGTACCTTGAGTCGAACAAGGACCTCAGGGATATACAACAGCATCGAGAACAACGAGACCCCGAGTGCGGCCATACACCATACCGCTTCCTCGCACTTGTGTTTTGACAGCCGGCATCCTTGCAGAATAGGACTCACAGAAAAATAAATTCCGCTCCAGAGCAGCACCTTGATCTCGGGGCGATCAAATGTAGTTCCTGTACCCAGCCGAGAAGATAAGACCGCACAACGAGAAATGATGTGGTACGGGACTCCCACGCTTGATCATGAAGTCGGCAAGGTTCTCATAAAATTGGACGCGCGAAAAAACACCGTGCGACACCACCCAGAGCAGCACCTTGGTTCGAACAAGGACCTCAGGGGAAATTATCCAGACGTACTGAGTTTACAACCCTGCGTGCAGCGACCCTCCATACCGCTTCAATGCAACACCTTTTCAACACAAAGCAACCTGAGAGCGAGCGAATGCTGGTTCGGATCTATTCAATCTTCTGGGGTCACGGAACTCGAAGGTTCGACACCGGCATCACGGCTTCCACCGTCTGCCGGAGCGCATCTTCATGACGGCAATCAGAGAGGTTGACCCTCCGCCAAAATCCAGCTGAACCTGAGCCCCAGACACATCTCGTTAAAGCAATACCTTGGTTCGAACAAGGACCTCAGGGTTTAACTTCTCTTGTCCCGATTAGTGCAGCCCCGCGCACCATACTGCGACTGCGCTCTTGTAGCACTGGCAGGCTCGCAAAGGCCCAGGGCACGCGAAACTGCGGGGAATAAGGGAATATATCTCTTCAACGGACGAATAACAACAGTGACGGCACTTCATTATAGGTTTCCAGTCCTCCGAACCGTGAGAACCATTGTTCAACCGTGGGAACATGGAATCAAATAACTGAAGTGAGACACGCATTCTGGGCGGCGCCCGGTTGCCTGTAGCAGATAAGTCTTGGCATCTGCGCTGCCGTGAAAGGAGGTGAAAAACAAACAGTAGTCGGCCCACGCGGACACAGGAAGTCGAACCCTACAACTGCTTGATCCATTATTCTTTTCGCCATCGCCCCCATCATTTGCAATGGTGTACCGTGCACTGCATCCGCTTGCTATGCACCCAATAAACATGTGGGCTCTACTAATGTTTGGAGCGGCCTCGAAGATGATCTTCCTCCCGTTAGAAGCAGACACGGAGCGTCGAACCCCAAAACTCAGACCGCCAGGGCCATCGTTCCAGTTACCGTGACTTGAACACCGTGCACAGAAAAAAAAAAGGCGCAGACAAATTGGCGGCAAACAGCAGCTCAATTGAACCTGAACTATCCGTGGTTGGCGCTCAGCCTCGCGTGAAGACAGTCGGGGGTTCGAAGCCATAAACTCCAGGGTTTCGGCGGTCGGCGGTGAACGAGCTAGTAGGAACAGACGCAGATCGATTGCTGAGTCAAATCAGGATGTACCTCTTTGGGCTATCATAGCTGGGTACAATGCGTGAGGCCGTGCCCCCTCGTTCAGCGCGTGAATATATCGGAGAAAATAATCTAAGAATTACGCACAAGCCAAAACGACACGAGTGGCACCGCGGGAAAAGGGGAGGAACAAAACAGTGGTGAACTTTCGAGTTCGGACGCCGAGAGTCGAACCCGGACTTGCCTCTTCCTCGTAAATGGTCAACGGCAATGAGAGAGGCCGTGTTCCCGCGCCACATCCGACTACCTGCAGTTTAATCCTACCTGCAATTTACCCAGAGAGGCGAACGAGCATGGTCGAAACATGAAACGGAATATCATTCTTCCGTCTCGTGTAGTGCATATTATTGTCTTGAACTTACTGTGAATGAGTGCAGAATTGGTGGTGTAGCAAAAACCAACCAAACTGAGGGACGACTCTACTTCGCCCGTGCAAAGCCAACCGCGTTCCGTCCGAGGTCGTAGATGGTGTAGTACTTGCGCAGGAACACATCACCTGCGCCCTCCTCAGTCCCTTCAAGCCGCAGAAGATTCAACGACAACACGTACCGAGGATCCAGAACGCGCCGCCGGGAAGGTCAATATCCAAACCAGTGAACGCAGAAATACAGCTTCCCTTCACGTCGAGGATGTATTCCGAGCTCTGGAGCGGGTAGGCCTTGCTATTGAAGTAGAAGTTAAATTCTGGGAGTGAGGGGATTTTGTCGCAGTCGATGGTGTACTGCCCATTCCAGGACTTCTTCGCGCCGATCATGTCGTTGATTAGCTCCGCGATGACCGTCGGCGCGACGATGAGCGAGGTACCTTATGTACGCATCAGCGGCGGGAAGAGGGTGGCGATAGATCATAGCATTGGAATGCCCGCCGACTAACCAGTGTCGATAGCAGCTCCAGCGCCGTCGTCAAACTCAAGGGTTTCGCCGCGGAAGGACACCCTATCAAGCTCGACTTCCCAGTAGGCTCTGCGGCGAACGGGGACGTAGTCGATCTTTCCGGTGTATGCGCCAGGGTCGATTCCGCCAAAGGTAACCTCGCCGCCGTCGTCCGCCGAGGGACCAATGCGGAACGAAAACACGGGCTGGTCGAGCAAACCCTGGTTGATCATGGAGTAAAACGGCGGGGTGATGTGGTTGACACTGATGCTGTCGTATGCAAGCCCTACCAGCCCCACAAATGTCAGTGAGGTGCTTGATGAAGTAGAAGGAGGGGCACAGGAGATGTACCGAGAATCCCGTCAAATTTTCCGTACGCGAACGCCAAGCCGGGCTCATCGGTAGCCTCCACAAAGTCCTGTTTACGGATGCTGAGGTCGCCGATAGCGAGCAGGTCGTTAGAGACGAAACCCGTGATCGAGCCAGAGCCGTATTCGGGTTTCGTCTTCGAGCCAGAGCCGTATTGGATGCTGAAGGCGGAGCCGTTGGCCCTGTATGTGGACGACGCGCTGGAGTCGTATGGGGTGTGCATGTAGCACGCGAAGGATCTGCAGCTAACACTGGGTATCCAGAGGTTGGATGAGCTGTTGACGGCGTCAGTGGCCACAGTTAGCGTGAAGTGTGGTGTGGGCCCACCCAGTATCGAGGATAACCTATATACGGGAGGGGACGTGAGCACTTGAGAAGGTTGGGCGGGTAGTGGGAGGCCATTACCTTGAACGACTGTGGCGGCGTACCTATCTTGATCTCGGCAAAGTACTGCGCATTCAGAAAGTCTTGAAGTAAAATGAGATCAACGACACGGGAGGAGTCAACGACATATTGCTTACTGGTGAGAGGCACTTTATGGCCGCCCATCGCCTGCTCCTCAGACCAGACGGCCTGGATCTCGCTGCCCTGGTGGAGTCGGCGACCTGAACCGCCCGCGCCCATCAGGGACACTTGTCCCTGAGGGGATGCGCCATATTTCTTGGCGAGGTAGGCAAGTTCGAACGCAGGGTCGTTGACAGTAGGAGCGACCTTGGTGAGTTTCAACTTGTGAACGCCAGCGGCGCAGACCAAGGGAGCGAGGGAAAGGAGGACAGGCTTCACGAGCATTGTAGTGGTCAGAGGAAGCCGCAGGATGACGCCACCCACTGTGCCGTATACTTATAGACGTACCGCTGGCAAGGTGGATGGAAGCCCGATGCGAGCGAAAAGAAGATCGCTAGAACGCGTTTAAACGCCGAATACCAGCCCAATTCGGCCGCTAGAAGGGAGAGGGAACCATCACAAGCGGTCGACTGCTGCCAGAAGGGGCTGACGCTGTTAGCAAGACGGCTAGTGGCCACCCGATTGTGGAGCACACTTTGCGATCATCCGCAGTATACACCGCACATCGCCGAGAATGGCGTTTGAGTTGGGATGACGCCCGGCCTGACATGGCGGTAAACAAAAGCGTGCTGTATATACGCAACGGGTGGGGACATAGTCTGAAGCGGGTTGGGATTCGACTCGCCGCGTCCGCCTTCAGCTGTCCGGACACATTTTTTGCCTAACGGTACCGATGAGCTCGGGAGTGGGCAGTGAAAGAAATGGAGAAAGTGTACGGACGTCGTGCATGGTGCTCCTCCAATATAGCAGGTTTCGGCGTTTTTGCTCACCCGACAAAAGATGCGGCGTTACTGGGAAGGCGGTGAGTAGGAGAGACCGGATAGTGCGCGAGGTGCTGCTGAAATGCCTTTTTCTGTGATCAGTGCTTCCCGCACCACAGGAGAATTGAGTGGACAACAGTAGGAGTGATTTCGGACACGCAATTTGACCCGACAGTGGCGCATTCCACGTCCCGGGTGACACATTAGCATTCTACCCAGCAGACAGAATGAATGAACGAGACGCACTAATTGAGCGGGTTCAACCCTGTTTCGCGGCCCGGTGAATCACTTTGCAGCGGATGCATCCCCAAAGGGTGCTGACGAGGTCGGAGAAATGCGGAGAAATCGAGAAAGTTAGTCGGAATGTAAAACCATCCGAGTCGTTGCTGGCGTCCACAGGAAGATCAAGAGATTCTGAGCGAGTAGTAGCGACATTTACAACCAAGTTGAACTGCTCACCTTGTTGGAATTGGG